TAGAGTAATCGTCGTAGCCACAGTAGCCGTATTAGACGTAGTAGTAGTGACAGTAGTAGTAGGAGTAGAAGTAGTAGTAGTAGTAGTAGTAGTAGTAGTAGTAGTAGTAGTAGTAGTAGTAATAGTAGTAGTAGTAGTAGTAGTAGTAGTAGTAGTAGTATTAGTAGTAGTAGTAGTAGTAGTAGTAGTAGTAGTAGTAGTAGTAGTAGTAGAGTAGTAGTAGTAGTAGTAGTAGTAGTAGTAGTAGTAGTAGTAGTAGTAGTAGTAGTAGTAGTAGTAGTAGTAGTTCGTAGTAGTAGTAGTAGTAGTAGTAGTAGTAGTAGTAGTAGTAGTAGTAGTAGTAGTAGTAGTAGTAGTAGTAGTAGTAGTAATAATACACATAGCGGCGGTATTAGTTGGAGGGAATATAAAGAGTAAGTGTGCGAGGATGATGACGACGAGGGCGGCGTCGACGACGACGACGTCGGTTTCCTCAGGCGTGGCCTCCGCGGGGGATAAACGATTTCAATTTTTTTGTTTGGATCCCGATTTGTCAATAAGCCTTCGGAAAATAACATGTTTCTTTGTATCCTCAAGGTTTTGCGTAACTAATATCAGAGGTTAAGGAGACCGTGGGCCCCCGCCTACATCGTCCCGCCTACCTCATCGTCGCGCCTGCTTCCGTCGTCCCTTAGTATTTCCTCCTTTGCCTGCTCTCCTCCCGCCTCTTCCTTTTGCTCCTCGTCCTCCTCCTCCTCCCTCCTCCTCATTCTCCTCCTCCTCCTCTCCTCCTCCTTCTCCTCCTCTTCTCCCTTTTGCCCCACCTCCTTCCTGCGAGGCCCCTTCTAGAACCACTGGGGCGCCCCGTGGAGATCTTCGCCTATGTATGCCTCGCCGCAGGTCGTTCCCTCTGCCGCGGGTTGTCCGACGCGCAGCGAGCATCCCCGCCGCCGAGCCCCCGGGAGGCTCGCGCGTCGAGACGACGAAGACCGAGCACACCGTTACCACGGTCACCGGCGACGGCGGTGTGGGGGGACACGAATCAGAACCAATTTCAGCAGTGTGTAGCCAATCAGCAGACCCACGGGGCCATCGTGCGTTAGCCCCGCCCGCCAAGTCCTCCAAGCTGGGATGGGCCGCGCGAAGCCCGAAGGGAACAGCACGTATTCACACCCGGAGGGTAAGCCAGCCAGTAGAGCCAAGGCCATACCATTGGGGATGGGGATCGGCTGAACGATGCTCACCCCGGGACGGATACGGCGGGCTCGCGCGGCGTCGACGCGGCGGCGACCCCCACGGGGGCGGTCAAGGTTGAGATGCCGCCAGTGGCCCAGAGTCGGCCGACGCCGAGAGTTGTGGCAATCCGAAAGCCAGATACCAAACCAAACAGGGAAACCGCCGAATCTAATGAGAACCATCCATAACAAACCTGTAGGCGCAGCCGTGCCCTCTGGCTCTGCTGCGCGGTGTATCGAAGTTCACACGGAGCGAGCTCGGGGGGACAGAGCTCCACAGCGGCTCGGGGCAGTCTGTGCCAGCATTGCGATTCTGAAAGTCGACCTCTCGGCTCGAGATCTGAGCCAATTTGGAAGCCGTGATCGCTCATGGCCGAACGATCCACGCGGTGTCAGAAACAGCCGCCGGCGCCATTCGGCGACGTGAACCCGCCGCATTCAAGGCGGTGCCACAGGCGTCGGGGGTGCATCGCGTGGTGGGGTGGCAGCGGGTTGTCTCACGGGTGGCGTGTGCACTCTTGGCCCTTACCACTCACCAAACCACCCCAACCCAACCCGAAGGCCCCAATTTGCCCTCCATTCCCAGTGGGGGGGTTGGGGACCATTGACAAACACGCATATGAAGCCCGTGACCACCCCACCCCGAAATTCGGGTCTTCGGGTTGGGGTGGTCTGATAGGTAGTCCAGCTTGGCGTGGCGCCGTCCCGCCGGCGTGAGGGAGGGGGCCCGCGTAGCCCGTCTGGCTGGGCGCGTGGGTCCGCTGTGCAGAGGCGTACACGGACACCTGCACCGCCACCCTCCCTGGAAGGGACAGGAAACACTCGTCTGCAGGTGTTTGTGATCGTTTCCTTATTTGATGTTCTGCCGATCGGCGCGGGCCCTCGTACCCCGTCTCCCCACCCATGGAGTAGGTCTGGGCTGCTTTTGGCGGCTGTCTCAAGCAGGAGGAGCCTCCCCCATAGGACGCACTGTTGCAAGCAGTCGCATTAAGCAGAGGTCCGGGGCCAGGCCCCCCCCCTCTCCCCCTCCCCCTTCCGCCCAACGTCGAAGCGCCGAATAAGAACCGTTCACTTTGTGTGCATGTTTTCGTGGCGTTGTGGGGGGCGTGCCAGTTCTCATCTGCTGCCGTCGTCCTCGCGTTCGGGGATGGGCGCGGCTTCCGCGTGGGAAGACGGGTTGGCTGGGCACCGCTTCTTCTCTGCACCACGTCCGGGTGCAGGGGCCTCTCGAGCACGGGCCGGGGGAGGTACTGGCCTGAAGGAGGAGGGGGGCGAGGCATGTGCACCACCAGGCCTCCAGCATCGTGAAACATCAGGTTGCAGTGCTTCTGTTCTCCTCGTGATCTGGGGGCTGTTTCTGGACCCCTTGATTGTCAAAAGGCGATCTGAGACGCAAGACCGACCCAGGGGAAGGGGTCGGGACTTGCGAGGACCCCGTACTGAAACATCTCAGACGACATCGGAGGTCTGCGTAGCTATCGACATTGCATCTGGATGGCAGATCCCGGGTGTTCTTTTCCGGCGGAGCTCGTTGCCAGAAGGATTTTCCATGACATCTGGGCGATCCTGGAGCACCAGGCCACGGGCGGGCTATTTCAGTTTGGCCTTGAGCCGAGACTGAAGAAACTACGCGAAAACGCGGAGGGGGATCTTGTCCCATAGACCTTCGGCGCCGTGACTTTTGTCACAGCCCCATGAGCCCTCGACCCTCCTCGGGACTCGTGTTCCGTCTCGGGACCCGTTTTTTGCCCAGCTCCCAAGCCGGACACACGGCCCTCGGGCGGACGCCGAGATCGCGAACCGAAGCGCCCGGGGGCAACAGAAAACCAGGACGCCGCGGAGGCCCGGGGACGAGGAGAGCCCCGCGGATGTCCTGCCCAGACGCGTCCGGACGCCTCGACGTCCTCGAGCCTCTGCCCCAGGAAGGTCGCGGGGTGGGCAGGGCGGGGTCGAGCGGGAGTCCACAGGGAGCGGCGGCAGGCGGGGCCAAGCCGGACCTGGTCGCAGACATCCGCGCGCAGTTGGAGGCGCAGTCGCACAAGGCGACGCACGATGACCTGATGGCCAAGCACAGGGCGATGCACGAGGCCGGAAAGGGGTGGAGCGCCCAGGAGCGCCTGCTGAGCGATCGCGCGTGCCTGGGGGTTGGCGCCGAGGGCCTCGCCAGCAGCGGCCGCGGAGCGAGCGCCAGAGGGGTCCCTCCCTTCCCGTCAGGGCGCCTTTGGTGGCCCCACCTGGAGCCGCGGAGGGGCGGCACGAGGGGCCCGTCCGACCCGGCGCTCTGCGCAGGTCGTGGGCGCAGAACACGCGCCCGTACCCGCAGCTTCGCGGGCGGGGCTCCTGGACCGCGACCCCGTGGCCACGGGGCGTGTTTCTCGGCGGATGCCCCGCGCGGAGAACGTGTCCGTGCGACCGCGTCTCCACGGCATCGCGCTCAGGGGTCCAGGCCGCGAGGGCGTGGACATGGACGTGCGCGCTGCTCGTGGGCAGGGGGAGGCGCCCCTGTGCCTCCCCTGGGCCCGCCGGGGGGCAGGGCGAGCTCCTGCCTCGCCAGCCCCCGGCAGTCTGGCCCAGTGCGCCGGAGGAGGAGGAGGAGCAGGAGCAGGATATACCGATGCCGCTGCTCGGCCTGGAGAGCCCTCTTCGCCACGGCTGGGTTCTCCTCGAATGTCTGCTCAGAACGCACCCCAGCATAGGTCCAGGGAGTAGCGGTATCGGTACCGCTTCGTTGCTCCTCCTGCTTCTGACTGCTGACTGCTGCTGCTGCTGCTGCTGCTGCTGCTGCTGCTGCTGGCGATTGGTGATGACTGTCCGTCTCGTCCTCCAGCTCCCCGCCTTCTCCTCGCCGTTCTCATGCTTCCTCCATTCCACGTCGCCCCTCGGCAGCCTCCTGCCGCCGCCGCCGCTGCTGCTCCTCTCTTCGGCAGCCCTCTGGACACGGCCGTGCAGCGGTGGGGAGGAGCCCGCGTCTCGCCGGGCTGGCCTCAAGCACCACCGCGTGTGACTCTTGGCCTCGCCTGCCGCCAGCTGGCGCGCCCGAACCATTCGAGTAGGGGATCGACTACATAATTCGTTTACCCCAGACTTAATTTTCCGTCGAATCTACGAACGAATGCGTAGAATGCTCTACGGAGCATTCTACGGATGTTTCGCAGACTCGACGAACAAATCAGCTTTGGGGTAAATCAGTTCTGTAGTCGATCCCCTGCTCGAACCATTCCGCTTCTCACGTTCCCTCGTCACCTCTCGGCGACGATTCCTTGACCGCTGGCCTCGGCCAGCGCGCACGATGGCCGTGCCCTGGCAGGGCGTTGCATCGCACGGCGCAGCGGCGCCCCCGCGCGCCGGGGCGTCGAGCGTGGCCCAGCACCTCATGCGCAGCCTGTTCCACGCCATGCCCCAGGCCGAGGAGCAGCAGCTCTTCCGCGACTGCGAGCGCGAGCTCGTGGCGGCGCTCGGCTCCCTGGGGCCGGACTGGCGCCTGGCCCCCTTCGGCAGCGCGAAGAACCTGCTCATGACGCGGGGCTCGGACCTGGACATCACGGCGTACAGGGCGGACCTCCTGGGCGGGGGCGGCGCTGCCCTGGCCGCCCCGGACCTGGAGGAGCGGCTGCTGCCCCTGCTCCGCAGCAGCGGCAGGCTCGAGATCCAGGGCAACGTCATGAGGGCGCGCATCCCCGTGCTGAAGATGCGCTTCGACGGGATCCTGGACGTGGACCTCTCCTGCCACAACGTCGAGGCGCTGCGCAACACGCAGCTCCTGAGGGCGTACGCGGAGCTGGACCCCGTGGTGCGCAATCTGGTCGTGCTCGTGAAGCTGTGGGCGAAGGCCGAAGGCGTCTGCGGCGCCCCCAGCGGGCACCTGACTTCGTACGCGCTGACCCTGATGGTCGTCTACTTCCTGCAGGTGCACCCGCGGATGTGCATGCCCTGCCTGCCCACCCACCTCTTCACCGGCTTCGGCTGCAAGCCCCCCGAGGTCCAGCAGACGCGGTGGGCTTGCACCGTGCCGATCCAGGAGGCGCTGCTGTGCTTCTTCCACTTCTACTCCTCCGAGTTCCAGTGGGGCCAAGAGGTGGTCGCTGCGCGCCTCGGCTGGCGCTCCACGGCCGACGACCCCGAGCACTGCCGGCTGCCTGCAGCGCACCTGCTCCGGTTACACGTAGAGGACCCCTTCCTCCTCAACAGGAACCTGAACTGCGTGCTTGGTGCCGAGCAAGAGAAGAAGCTCTACGTCGCTCTCTCGCGGGCAACCGCAGACATGTATCGTGGGTTCGCGCCGGTGGGGCTCCGCGGCGAACAGCCAGTCGACGCGCCTCTGCGCCCGTTCCCGCGCGCAGAAGAGCCTAAGGACACTGCCCACGACACCAGGGGCGATTCTGCCGAGAGCACAGCCGCAGGCCCGTACAGCGAGTACAGCACAGAGAACGGCAGCGATAAGGACTTGGACCGCGGCGTGCCCGCCAGTCCCTGCGCTCCCGCTGGCCCGGGCTGGGGTTGTGGGGTGAGCTCCGCCCTGGCGCCTGCCGCAGAAAGTTTGGACCGCTCGGCGCCTGCCGGCCCCTGCACTCAACCCCGCCCGGGCAGGGGCCGCCGTACGGGGTGCGCCTTGGCGCCCTCGGCTGAGGACTGGGCTGTGGCCTCCGCTCCTGCTCGCCAGGGCTGCGGCGGCTGCCAGGCGCCTGCCGCGGCCGAGGCCTGGGGCCACGGGCCGCCCGCGCCTGCCGCTCCCGTGCCCGCTCGCTCAGGCTGGGATGGCCGTGCGGCGCCCGCGACTGGGCTGTGGGATCAGGATCCGCCCGCGGCTGCCGCCCCCGCCCCCGCCTGCCCGGGCCGTGCGGCACCGGGCATCGGGCCCTACCAGGGGCCGTCCACGGCTGCTGCCACGGCCTCTGACCGCCTAGGCCAGGATGGGCGTCCGGTGGCCGCCGTGGGGCCCCGCGGCCGAAGGCCCTCGGCGCCTGCCAGCCCTGCCCCCACACGCCCGGGCTGGGATTCCCGCGCGGCACTCCCGATTGGGCAGCGGGACCAGTGGCCCCCAGCGCCTGCAGGCGCGGCTCCCGCCCGCCAGGGCTGCGGCGCGGGTTCCGGGAAACCGTACACTGGCGTTTCATGGGCGCCAGAGCCGCCGCTGCGGGACCCCCAAACTCGGTGCCATTTGCAGCAGGCACCCCATGCAACGCAGTCACATGCAACCTCTGACCAACCCTGGCGCAGGCCCATTTCAGCAGCAGGCACGGGTGCAGGCCCGCCTCAGCCACAGGCACCGCAGCCGCGGCCGCGTGCTGCGCAGCCGCGAGCCCCGCCGCCGTTGGCCCAGTCGCAGCAAGCCCCGCAGCCGCACGAGTTGCCCCCCACAACCTTGGGATTCCTGCGGCTCTGAGGTGCCGCGCTGGATGCTTCGCGCGGGCTTCTGTTTAATCGCTCTGCCGCCTGGCGGTCGCAGTCGGCTGGTTCCCGCTGCCTGCGTCATTCGGAGCCCCATGAGATTCTCAGCCGCCCTTGGTCCCTTGAGTCAGGGGAGAAACACAGACCACCGCCACCGAGAACTCATCAGTGGGGTTCGGCCCCTGGGCGGTGGCACGTCCGAGCGTCGTCAGGTACTGGGTGACGCTCGGGCGTGCCGCCGCCCGGGGGCCGAGCCCCCCCCCACTCTGTGGCGGCGGTCTCTGTTTTTTCTCGGATGGAGGGAAAGGGCATGCCTTGCCGAAGAAGGTGGCCGAATGGGGTGGAGTGACCACTGCGAGGAGCTGCGTGATCGAGCTTGCGCTCGCTGCTCGATGGGGGCGTCATGTGCCCATAAGCTGGGTTAGGATCTGTGCCCGAGGCTCGGTGAGGAGGAGGAGGAGGAGGAGGAGGAGGAGGAGGAGGAGGAGGGGGGGGAGGAGGAGGAGGAGGTGGAAGGGAGGACGACGAGCATGAGGATGACGAGGAAAAGCAGGGGGAGGAAGGGGAGGAGGAAGGCGATGAGGAAGAAGAGGAATAGGAGGAGGAAGAGGAGGACGAGGATGAATTGAGCTTCACTCCCAGCTCATCCTGAGGCTGTGATTCGCCAGCCGCCTGCTACAACGGAGGGAGGTGCAGCAGGCATGACAGGATAATATTCTGAATTAGAGCAGGGCAGGAGGTTCTCCGTGCGCACCCGTACGCCTAGCTTCTGCATTCGATAGTGGGGGTGCTTGCCGTTGGAAAGCGCGTCCCAACCATATCCTGCAGCTCGTCACGGAGGGCACTGGCACTGTGCGCCGAGACCCCAAATTCGGCCCCCAGCGCTATGATATTTGCAGCGAGTGCAGATGAAAATAACGGAGCCATCCGCGCAATCAAACGCGATAGTGCGATGCCCCAAGGTATCCTGCCTCGAAGCATGCAACGCGGAGGTCTGAGGGCATGTTCCTCAAGGTGGACGCTCAGCACGGCTCCCCTGTAAACGCAGCACGCTTTCAGGTACCCGACCATTCCCACGTGTTGCCAGCCGCCGCTGGCGCAGCAAGGGGAGCATTCCACGAGCTCAGCGGCAAACATATCCACATCTGCCCACGGTTGAAGCACGTTAGCAGCACGACGGATGGTAGCGTGCGCGTGCTTGGCAAGCCTGCCTGTGGAATCAAGACGAGCCTTGCACCTTGGATGCAGCAAGGTGACGTGCTCTGCCGCCGCACCCGCAGAAGTGTTGCCCATGCGGCGCCAGCGCTCGGCAGCATCGGTCCCTGCCTCTTCGATTCCACGATGGGCGGACACCCTCACGCACTGGCCTTGTCTGGCTGGCGAACACCTGGAGGAAGGCCCCCGCACACGCTGCCTGTTCACTGCTCGGCTCTCGGGCGGCAGGCCTGCTTCACACATTTTCTGAAGTCGGAATAGGCCACACCATCATAGCCAAGGACACTCGCCAAGGCACAGCAACTAAACTCGGCCGACTTGGGGGTTTGGATAAGGTGCTGCCTAAATTGGAGTATGAAACCCAGCGATGCAGTCACCCTAGGCATCAACGATAGCTACACTACATGCGACAGGTGACAGCTTCCGAACAGGATGGCGGGTGCAGCTCCCGTCCACAAGAAACACTCCTCAAACCGCAGTGCCGGGGCACCTACCCTGAGATTACAACATGTCTTTTCGGCGCTTCACAAAAAACTGACCATCATCCGACTCCGTGAGGGGGCGGGGGTGAGAGTCGGCGAGATGGTGGACAGCCCCAGAAGTAAAGACTAACGCCTCAGAAGAGTCCTCCAACTCAGTAGCTTCAGAGCGGCAGCGACTGTAGAAGCATCGGCGAGGCTAGAACGCATCTCAGCAACAGGCTTGAGGGGGCACCCCCAAAGCCGGTGTAAGATGGTGTTGATCGCTCCCCAAGGCGGGCAGAGATCATCGATCAGATATTCCTTGCATCTGGCTCTGTAGCCAGTGAAAACGCTTCAGTGGCAGACGCTCGGATGTCAGCTGTCTGAAGGGACGAGCATGTCTTGCTATGCAGAGCCTCCCGACCGACGTCGTAACATACCCGAGGAAGGATGCTGCGTTTCTCGCCCGAGTCGCCCTCGAGCATCCGAACATACTCGTCCCGAACCAGACGTTCGACCAGGGCAGACATATGTATCCCGAGGGGAATCGCGAAGCTACGGTCATCCCGCACCGCCATGAGCTCAACCATCTGCCACCCCAGGCGGACCCACGACATGCGCATGACCGATGTCGGCTCTGCAGCCCTCCTCCCCGAGCAGGAGGGGCTCGATAAAACAGCCTGCCAAGCCTGACGGGGAGAAGGGAGCGGCAGCGCCCACTGGGAGGCGCCAGCCTGACTGAGTCAACTACTCTTCGGACCAGCGCACGACGGGGGCCGTCGCCGTGCGACAGCAGATGGGTCAGAGTCCTCAAGGGCAGCTGCCGTCAACCAGCGCAGCTGCGAGGTCGGCCGCCCGACCGAGACAAACTTTTTCCGAAGCGATACAAGAGGTCCCAGTCGCTCGAGCCAGAAATTTCCAGACCGTGCGACGCCCCCGCGAGAGACCCAGTATGCAACTTGTTCAACACCGCTGGTCGGACCCATGACCTGATCTTGCAGCTCAAGTCGCTTCGACACACGGAACTTTTTAGCGAATCTGCTCTTCATCTTGGCCGAGCGGCCAGCGGCGCACACAGCTCGGCCAACAGCATAGTGTACGCCCATGCTTACAGCGCTGCTCGCGAAGCGGCCGCCTGAGGCGCTAAGCTATGCAGCCACGTCGCCACCTAAGGCCTTGAAGGGTGCCACCACGGGCTGCCTTATCAAGAGCGAAACTGCAGCCCGCTGCCGACTCCATCACCGTATGGAGTGGCCTAGCCCCACGAGCTATGGTTTGTGTCACAACTTTTGAGGGGTAATCCATGACTTACAAACTTTGCTTTTTGCCACTGCGCTACAACGCATCATGATCACACTGGTCGCGGAGCTACCACGCGATCCCCATATCGTACCACTGCGCGCGCGTCTCAGCAGAAAGTGTCGCACAACCTCTTTATTTTTAATAAAAACAACTTTCCGTGCTGACAGTTTCTCTCGCTAGGGAACTGAGCTTTGCGCCATGGCGCTTTCTTCTCTTCGCTATCGGCCGAGCGCCGACGCGCTGACGCGGTCCGAGACAAAGAGTGGCTCCTACATTTACGACGGCACGGTGAACAACTTCCACGAGTGGGCTTTCCGCACAGAGATGCGCATGAATGCTGCCTTGGCCTCAGTGGATCAAGAGGCGGGTGAACCACAGCAACACGTGATCGCCGCAGTTGTCAACAAGGTTGTAGAAGGCTTCAGAGGTGACGCATTCGATATTGCCATGGATGTTGGCAAGGACGTGCTTCTGATTCCGAATGGGATCGATCAGCTGGTGCTGTCGATTCGTATTTCACTCTTCCCCATAGAGGCGCAGGAAGTGAATGTCCTTGTCCAGGTGGGGCAGAGACCCTGTGGACCGCTGTCTCGACAGCACGGTGAGTCTATGGTGTCGTACATCTCCCAATGGAAGCGCTGGTGGAAACTGGTCTCCAAGTTCGATCCTGAGATCTGGGTTAGCGACGATATGTTTTGATCCTTCTCTTGGGCCATGCAGGCCTCTCGCCTTCGGAGAAACTGAAGGTGTTGACATCCACGGGAAATGTGACAACCTTCGACACTATCAAGGATGTCTTGATCCTCCAGCACGGCCGCATGCACATCCGCCAAAAAGGCAAGGGTGAGTCTGGTAAAGGCGCCAGCTCTTCGACGCGGACGCAGCCCAGACCCAGCTACCAGAACAGGAGCAAGGGCAAGGGCAGAGTGCGCTTCTCCAGGCCACGACGCGCCTTCTACACTGCTGATGAAGGATGGTACGAGCAGGAGGAGCATTACCTTAAGGAGCTGAGTCCCTACGGATATTGCGCGTCCGGCTATGCGCCAGAGCGCGGCTGGGGCGACGCGGCCTGGGGCGACTGCGCCGACGAACGCGCCTACGTCGACGAGGAATCGCATGCTCACTGGGCCCTTGTCCAGGATGGCAGCGAGCTCGACGTCGAGGTGGTCGACGAGATGGTCAGGGCCGGATATGCAGAGGAAGCAGCTTCTGACGCGATCCAAGAGGACCTGGTAGCCAACCTCGGCACCAAAGGGAGGAGCACAGGCAAAGGAAAGAGCGGAGGCAAGAGTTACCACTGCACGCCATGGTCGCCCGAGGGAGGCGGCAAGGGGGCACCTTCCCTGGAAGATCGCAAGAAGCGGCCCCAGGATATCAAGAAACGCTCGAAATTCAAGACCTGCCGCGAAACAGGCCGCTGGCCCGGGGGCCCTGAATGCAAGGACAAGCCCAGGGCGGCAATGGTAGCGCACGCTGGAGGCACTGGCGAGCGCCATGTCCAGTTGCGCGAGTATGATGACGGACGAAAGTTCACATCTATCAGTCATGTTGCTGCATCACCATCAATCCATCATCGTGACATCAAGGGCGTGGAGGAGTCGATGAGGACGGATTCCGGTGTTTCTCGTTTCTGCGCTTCTTTCTCTTCTCGCGTCATGCGCCACGGGGCATGCGTGTGCGTGTGTGTGTGGGGGGGGGGGAAGTGCGACGGGCAGCGTAGCTTGTAGCGCAACCACGCTGAGCATCATGTCTGTGGGAGTCGCATGGGGATGACCGAAGCCACTCCGGTTCAGGGATCTCCAGAGCTTCGGGGGAAGAGTCTTTAGACCTCTGCAGAGGCCGAGGGGGATACTGCTGGGTCCATGGCAGTTCGCTCGACCGAATCTAATTCTATGGCTAGTGCTTCTGATGGGGAGTTTGAGGAGGAGGAATCTGTTTCGGACCCTATCTCCGTTCCTGTTCAGGTTGCTGCGCTTGCTTCGGGTCGGCACCCAGGGCTCAGTTATGGTCGCGTTCTCAGGGGCACTCCAGACAACGCAGATTGGGGTCGCAAGGTGAAGAAACCGAGTGAGGATCTGGTTCTGTAGCGGAGTTGACCCGAAGCGCGTTGCGGATTCCATCCGTCCGTGGCACATGTCGTGCCTAAGCAGCTGCGCAGCTCCCGCTGGCCGCGCCGCGCCGCCTGCTGTCGTCGACCGCTGCGGCGGCGACGCGATCACGTGTGCGCCTGCGCCCGTCGATCACTCCAGTGACGACGGGGACGTGCGAGTCGCTGCCGTGGCTGCTGGCGCTCGTGCTCGTCCCGCGCCAATGGGCTCCAAGTTTGCTGTGATCGCGCTGGGCTGGGAGAACTTCGGGAAGAACCCGAGGTGCTTGGGGTCGTCGATACTAAGAGAGTGCATTCGCCGTCGCCGCCGCTCCAGTCGCGATATGACCACCAGAGGTCACGCAACCAATGCCATCGTAGAT